TTTTATTTTTATAAACAATTATTATTACAAATTACCTATTCCAAGTAAATATTACTTAGTAAGTATTAGGTGTTACTTATATTTAAAAAAAATTTCAATTATTATTTACAAATTTACAATAAAAATAGTGCATTAGTATAAAATTATTTATTTGGTAGGTTTATCATGAGAGAGTCGGGATTCTTATGTTTTTACATAGCGTTTCTGAGTACCTATATGCAGTTTTATGAAATTAAAAATGTAGATAGTACAGTATACAGTAGACAGTAGGTTAGTAGGTAGTATAGCCGGCACAGTTCAGACTGTTCAGAGTGACAACTCCAGAGACGTGCTTAGGGGGTGACCAAGTCATAATTTTCAGAAAATGTCGATGATTTTTTTTTGTAATTTTGTTTTTAACATTATAAAATTGTTTAGAAATATAGTATTGGGGGAGGGGGCTAGGGCCCCTCTGGAGCCATCCCTGATAGTTCAAAGGATAACAGTCCGTAAGGTTTGGTCTGCATAGACAAATTCCCTACTATAACCCAAGAGTGGGAATAAGTTTGTGCAGTCAGAAAAAATCATTAAAAAAAACCTTGAATTGACCTATTATAAAACTTAGAGGTAAGAACATTATCTGTGATTTCACTTGGATTTTTACTTTATTTAATTTTTTAATTACCTGCCTAAGTTATAAGTACTTGCCTGTATTATGTAAAATATAATTTAAAAATACTCATAACTCGCTAAAAAAAACTAAAATATTGTAAGAAACCCACATAAAACCATAGATGATAATGTTCATACAATCATGTACATTCAAGTTAAATAATGTTTTAATAATAGTTATAGTAGAGTAATTGGTAAATTTTCTTTATTATTACAATTTAAAGGCTATTGCACAAAATTTATAACGTATCACGAAGAGTGGAGACAACGCGATATGACGTGGATGTGATGTCCCCTTAATTTGTACTTTTTCAATTAGGTATATCACACATTGTGTTGGTCAACTGTGTTTCAAATGCTGTATTCAAAATCATTCAGTCAAACAGACTGTATGATCTCAAGTTTTTGCGAAATAACTGTATAATATGGACACATGGAGAAACCTAGAAAACAATCGTACAGACCAGTGCCGTCCAGAGGGTGAGGCAAACGTGGCACACGCCCAGGGCCTTGAGCCTCCAAGGGCCTCGCGTATAATATACAATAATATAATCGTGTAAATAAATTATTTCCAAACATTTTAACAGTGACTTAAAATTTAAATATTATGTCTCAGATAATATCAATAATGTTTATATGGTAAATACGATCAGGTACCTACGTACTATATCAAGAAGCCAACGATATGTCGATATGATATGTAATTGGTTTTTATTTTTGTTTAATTTTAGTGTTGGTATTTATTTTTCCCTCGAAATGACGATGTCGACGAACGTCCATAATAACAACATGGCATATAATATAATGTAATATAATATTATATTAAATTATTGTGACTGATATAATTAATTTAATGACACGAAACCTTTTAATATAAAATATTTTCTGATATTTAAATACATTTTATCACTTTTCTTTATTTTTAACTATAATTTTGTTTACAATTATTTCTCCTGGTGGTAGTGATTCTCATTCGTAAACTCTAAAATGTTCATAATGGGCAGGAGGTACTCGGGTACTCGTCTAATATGCTACCTACCATAAAATGGTATCTACAAAAAAACTGTATGCGTGTAGTATGCTACCTACCGTAGTTATTTTTATTTAATTTCATTTTATTGCAGGAAAGTACATTTGAGTCATTACGATAATTAATAACATATTATTATAACAGTTGTACAAAATTATATTTTATAAATAGCCACTATGATAACTTTACTGGTCCACCAAGGCCCATGGCCATGGGCCATGATAACTTACTTTTAGATATCTTATTTTCGTCTATGTTGTGTTTGTGTTGTGTTCGGGTATGTGTAATATTCGTTGCGAGTTTAAATTTTTATGTGATGATTTTCAACTCAAAAAAATTACGGTACTCGCATTCAAGGTCCATGGATTTTTGATATGTGTTATAAAAATGTTGATGGGGTTCTAGAACGAAGATTTTTTTAAGTGAAAAAAAGAGATAAGGCAACTTTATTACCAATAATTCCAAATGAAATAGAACTAGGATCAATTATTTATTCAGATCGATGGCGAGCATACAGTACCTACCTTAAAAGAGTTTTTTGTTGATCCTACAACAGGCGCATAAACACAAACGATCGAGTGTACATGGAGACATGTCAAAACTAAATCCGGAATTAAAACCAGAGGAGCAACAGATTTGTTAGACCGACAATTAAAAGAAGAATGGTGGCGGTCCATTAATACGCAACACGAATTATCAGAAGTTTTCTGGGATGACCGATGATGTAAAAATAATATTCAATGTATTATAATATATAATGACACATAGAAATGTTATAAAGTACTTGACAACAATAAATTAATAAATTATTTAGTAATAAACTGTTATTAATATTGTTGTCACTTTTTTATTAATCGATAATCAGTAGTAAACGTTTTGTGGTAGGCATCGTTATAAGATAGGTAGCAATGTAGCATACTACACCAACGAAGTAGCGGTAGGTAGAATATTAGACGAGTACCGGTACTCGACTAGGTATCTACAAAAAGATAGAGAACCACTATTCTAGTGTACCTATGGATTTCGATATACCTAATATTGTAATTTGTAAATACAGGGCCTCGAATTCTAATGATGCCCAGGGCCTCGCAAAACCTGGGAACCGCACTGGTACAGACTGGTAGGGTTCTAGACAGTGGCGCAACTAGCACAAAATCTTAGGGGGGCTATAGCCCCACCTCAATATTATACCAAAAGTAACCCGTGGGGGGCTATGCCCCCACACCCCCGATCCATCATCTTAAAATTTTTAAACACCATTAATATCAACATTTATTTTTAATTATATGTATTATTTATATGCATTGTAAAATAGTTATTGACATATTATATATTTATATAAGATTCATTTTTCATTTCAAGATTCATTTTTTTTTTTTGATGACTGTGAATTGTTCCAAAATTATCTTAGGATCAATTTCTACATATTTTTCAATATTCAATACCTATCGATAAATTACTAAATCTATCTTGTTCCATTGTAGATCTTAAGTACGTATTAATTCGCCTCATGGCAGAAAATGCACGCTCTGATGTTGCAGAAGAAATTGGCAATATATTATAGGTTATATATAAAATACTATATTAATTTGTATCAGTTACTAAATAACAATATATAAAGAAATAATTAGTTAGGACTATGCAACAATTAATTAAGCTTAAATACCTAATTAATTTCCAAAGTCTAGAAGTATTTTTATTAAAAAAAATGATATATTTAATTACTTTATAATGATCAATCAGATGCAAACTAAAATTAAAATCAAATTGCATCAAACAATCAGCTGATGTAGCAATTTGTAGACTTTCTGTAGAAAATCTACATTTCATGTTTGAAATGATTGTGTCCATGATAACAAAAAATGCGTTTAATTTTCAATAATTCTCTGCCTCAGAATCATTTTTGTTGGAACAATCCTCAGAGTCTGCTGCAGCCGTTACTGTAACAGCGTACTCTTTTAAAGGACTTGGTTCTTTTTTTAAATCTGTGTGTACCCGTAACAGACTATCACTTTTAATCTCCAATTAATCAGTGCGTACATAATACGAACGATAAAAACGTGTATCAAAGAGAAAAGAGAAAATAAGAGTTATATAGGACTCTGATATATTAGCCACGATTTATAGAAAGGTCAAAATACAGCTAAATTTTTAAAGGTTTATTAATATTTTAGAAATCAATGAAATAATTTATTTTGGGGGGCTATTAGAATTTTTGAGGGGGCTAAGTCCCCCCCTAGTTGCGCTTATGGTTCTAGACTGCATGTCGCGCCGCCGCGACAGAATATGTACTCTCTCCACCGACCACCCCACACATTCACACACGCACACGGTCACTATCATCGTTAATTATTTTTAAGATTATATAAATATATAATACGTAGATTAGGCCGCGACGCGGTATCGTTCAGCATAGGCCGCCTAGGCGAGCAGTCCGTTCCGTAGTGTCTATGCGGGACGAGTGATTCGTACCGAGCTAATCGCCGTGAAAGTCGCATCATTATTATTAGGCGCGAATCGCCACTGATTACGAACGCCTTTCTGGTAATAGCCTTCTGCAAGGAATCGACTTATTGTTGCCGCAACCTGCAGTAAGAAACAAATTGCATAGGTACCTATCTCAATATATTATGTTTAAACATCAATAGAATAATACAATAAATACCTTTTTTCAACACAAATACCGTCATTCCTAAGCGTGCCAATCAAATGAGGTGTTAATTCATTCAAAATTCTTTCAAATGTACGTTTGGATAATATACGAAAATTGGTACGAAATTCTTAAATTCTTCGTCTGATAGCCGATAGACTGTCCGTTGACGAAAAAGAAATCGTTCTATTCTTAATATTATATTCTCGTTCATTACCACGTTCATCGCCATGAGTCATACTCTTCTTGTAAGGCGCAAATCGCCAAAGTTGTTATAAATTGTTTTTTGTAAGGCGCTAATCGCCAACGTTGTTATATATTGTTTTTTGCATGGCGTTAATCGCCAACGTTGTTACTGTTACTTAATTATTGTTGCGACGCATTGCGTGTGTCGTGTATTATTTCTATTATTCTAAAAAATATAGGAAAGGAAGATGCTGGCCAGCCGAGCACCGTCGCATTTGTGAGTTTTTATTATTTTTATATATTATATTATATTATATTTATTAGTAGGGAACGGATTTATATGTAATAAAAATACAAAAATATGTACATATATATGGAAGTATAATTTATAAAATATGTGCTAAAAACATCCAAATATGTGGGAAAAAAATTTAATTAAATTTAAGAAAAAATACAATTAAAATTATTAAAATTATTAAATTATCAAAATGATTTGTTGCATTGAATTATTACAATTTCTTTTAAATTTTCGAATGTTAAATGTCGCCTATTAGGTCTCAAAATATTTTTAAAACGGCTAAATGATCGTTCCACATCAACCGATGTAATTGGAGTATATTTGAAGCGCATAATATCAGAAGGCGATAATTCCAAATTTTTAGAAGTGTGTCTGCCACTCATTATGTCATTGATTGTTTTAAAATAAATATAGCCTGGATTTTTTTCTGTAACTGCATGAATTTTCTTTTTTACAACATCTCCTATTGGTCCGCTTACGAGTTTTAATTTTTCAATCGCTGATTCGCCTGATTCAACAATTTGCATACTATCATTTAAGAACGTATTTTTTGTTTACCTACTGCTATCGCCTGTCAACCCGTCTGCTATCGATTGTCAAACGTATATAAATGTATAATATATTAAGATATCTATTATATCTATATGAAAATTATAAGGTAACGACTATAAAAACTACTAAATATTTGCTCCACGTGGATCGTCACAGTTCATAATGGCTGTTTTTAATGGCTTGAAAACGTATGAACGATGAAATGATAAAATATGTAAAAATATGTAATTATACCAAAATATGTAAAAATATGTAAAATAAAAGTAGCATCATTTTAATAGGAATGATTTAAATCATGAACATTTCTTATCGATTCTTAAATATCTTGTTTTAATAAAAATATGCATTTACATATAAATCCGTTCCCTATTTATTAGCATTATCATAACGTAGCTGTTGAGCCAAAATGGCTACATATTACCTATTATTATTTCCATTACAATTTAAAGCTCAAGTAGCTGCAGCAACAGATTATTATTATTTACATCATAATGATATCGTATTATAATTATTTATTTGTTGAAATTGTACGCTGATATTGTACCTAAACCCTTTCTATCGTAAATGTATTCATTTGGTTTGTTAAGCACAATCCCACACAAATACACACCTAACCCCCCCCTGCCACAACAAGTACTCGCAGGCTTTGCTCGGCGACCCTGTCCAATTCCTGTTGAGTACTAAGCCATACACACACATAGCACATAATCGGTACGGAGTATTTTGGTAACCGGGCGGCATGGCCCGGCCTATTATTGTTCTTACCCGGCCCGTACAGTTTAGATATATCATTAATTTGTAGGTAGGTAGTCTTATATTATATAAATCATAAATCATAATTCACTTTGGAACTCAAAAACGAATGACTGTAGATATTATTGTAATCGTCACCAAATTATTATATCAACAATATGTATAATATTATTGTTCGTACCCGGCCCGTACACTGTAAATACTCAGACCATATTTTCACAGAATGTGGAAACCCCGAATTTCACAAACCGTATGGTTCCAGACTGTATTTCACCGGAAAAATAAATACGCCCACCCTATAGTTCGCGACAGTAGTATTACAGAATTTTTTTTTTTTGTAAACCGTATAATTCCCGAATTTGATCATTTTCTTACCGTAGGTACTTTTAACGACCGTGAAAATCCGGAAATTCACAAACCGCGTATAATACCAGACCGTATTTCACTGGAAAAAACACGCAAAACGTTTAGTGAACGACAGTAGAATTACGGAAAAAATTATTAATGTCGTCGTTAATAATTTTTAATTGATACACAACCATGACAAAAACAGTGACAGGTTATTCTTAAAGTATGAGGGGAGCGGGACAACAGTAATTAGATTATCGAAATACCTCCTAAAAATCGTGAATTTTGACCTTATTTATAGTACAATGACCTTAGATGTGACACCGACATAATATGTCTAATCAGTCAGCACAGTCCATTTATAATAATATTATAAATGTGCTAACTGATTAGAGAAATAAAACTTGAAATTCAGTGGCGACGTCTCCCCACTTAGAAAATAGAACACGGGACAAATAAATAATAATTATTTTGTTTTCTAAAATATTTGAAAATGTGAATTTCATTTTATATTATAAAATATAATATGATGTATGTTTCAGTATTTGTTAAAATCGGTTTTTCGTTGTACCTATAGTGTTGTACGGTTATAGAATTCTTAAAATACCAATATTAAAAGCTCTCGATAAGGCCGAGCTGGCGATACGGGTCATTCCAAATATGTTATTAATTATTATATCTAAATCGAATAGACGTTACGACGCAACGTCTTGCCAACATGGGTGCGCGGGTACAGGGGGAATGCTAATGTGGGTGGGATTTACTATGTGGGTACGCTACGAGACACGTCTCGCCGTTCGTAATCACCTCAGTCCTCAATATTTATTATTGACTTCGCTGTCGCATTGTCACGCTATGGCGATAGGCATAGGCGTGCGCAGGGGGGAAGCGCCGGGTATGCCATGGCATCCCCTGCAGGGGGTAATCGGTCAAAATATCCAAACCAAAATATCCACGGACAAAATATCCAACGGTCAAAATATCGTAGAAATATTTTACGTAGATTAGTAAATTAGGCTGGGGCTATACACGGCGTATTCCGCCGCGTTTCGAACGCCGCGTATTCCGCATCGTTTTCCGCGGCGTTTTCCGTCGAATTAAAAACGCATTGGTTTAAACCGCCACGGAGGAAAACGCGGCGTATTACGCCCGTCGTGTATAGCTGCTCCGATTTAAACCAATGCGTTTTTAATTCGACGGAAAACGCTGCGGAATACGCGGCGTTCGAAACGCGGCGGAATACGCCGTGTATAGCCCCAGCCTTACACATTATAAAAATATAAATATTATTACCCGCAAATGGAAATTGGATTTTGGGTGGTAATACTTAAGTTACAAATTCCAAATTCGTGGTTACGAATTATTACGAATTGGTTACTAATTTGTGAAACCATTTTTGTAAGAAAATGTTTACTTTGTGGTGCCAGGGTCAGTGACCTTATAATATATAAATTACGTTAGTAGTAATAATATCACAAAATATACTGCACACACATTAGTCAAATAATATAAAATAAAATGTAAAACAATTTGTTTTTATGAATACAGTATACACAGATACCTGCAGAGTTATCATTATATACCATGTAGTTATTAGATTTAAATGTTTTGATTATAAATTAGAATCGTAAACTAAGACAGTTCAAATAGTATCTTAGTTCAAGAATTTAAATATTTTGATAATTTTTTATATTATTATTTTCTTATAATAAAATATTGGGAGTTGAGACGGAATCAAATATTAATTATATTTTCATAATCACCTTTCACCGCAGGTACCTATAAATAATAAAATAGATTGCTGACTATAATAATATAGTTTAAATCAAAATCAACTGTTTTCGTGAGAATTGTGGGTTTTGTTATTAGGTAAATTATATTAAGTAAATTGGGCCGGTTGTTGCCGTTTTACCATTATTATATTTTATTAGCACAAAAACATGCATATTTTATAATATTATACTATGACTAAGAATTAATGATTGTCACAATGATACATTTTATAGTCATAATTAATAGTTGGAATATATTTATATTTAGACGTATGCGGGGACGTACACATTGTATGTATGTATGTATTTATGTATGTTTGTGTGTGTGAGTGTATAACAGTAATAATAATTATTATCGTAATCCCGTATAGTTTTAATTGTCAAATCTAAAATGAATACAAATTCTAAAAACAACAACCGATTGGCCCTCTTATTAATTATCAATGTCCTATTAACTTTTGAGTTGCGACAGTCGCAGTGGCGTACATACGGGGGGGGTTTTCGGGTTCAAACCCCCCCCAGGACCAAAAAAAAAAAAAAAATAATGTGATATTATTAATGAATTTCTTATTATTAATCAACCGTGTATACACAAATATACGTCATAATAATATGACTATTGAGTAAACAGTAAACACTATACTTAACCAACAACGAAAAAAGATGTCATAACGAAATAATTATGGGTGCCGTATAATATGGTATATCAATCAAAATAGACATTATTTTGATCGTATACAGTCAGTTAGTTGTGTGCGGATATAAATACATATTAATATTGTCTTTATCTCGACCGACTCGATCAGACAACAGAGAAAAAACCGTTTGCGTTATAATCGTTGAATTTCGCGTGAGTGACAATAATACGGTGAAATGGATTCTATTTTTATAGCACTATCATAATTATTGACCATGTTAAAATATTTAATTATGAAATGTTCGTTCATTCTGTTCTATTCTGCCGTCGGAGAAGTTTTTTTTTGTTTATTTTTAGATTTTAGTGTCGGCAAACTATATCATAATATTATGTCTATATTATTGACATTTTGACATGGCAACAAAATAGACTCAAATAATAAAATGTAAAAAAATGAAAATCAAAATAAATTAACTTACAAATAAAAAAATTAATTCGTTAATTTAACGTTAATTAAAAAATAAATTTAGTAAATTAGTAGTTAAGTTAAAAATTATTATTATCACATCATAATCATTATCATTCGATTTCGATATATTTTAGGTTTTGAAGGTAAAATAATTAGTAATCATGGCTGAAAAAAAACAATCGAAACTGCAATCTTTTTTTTCAAAACCACCCTCAATAATGAATTCATTGTCAAATTCATTGAATGCAACTCAAACAGTTATAAGTTCCTCTAGTTCCTCATTACCATCAACTGCATCTGCATCTGATACACCTATCACTCAGTTTACACCTTCGACTACAGATATTAATCGTACATCTTCCAGTTATAATATTTTTGACATTGCACATTACACAAATAAATTGTTAACGCAAAGTGAAATAGAAGAAATTTTGAGAAAAATTTGGGTCCCTGATATTAATTACAATTTTCCTATCAAAATATCAGTAGTCGGTAAACAACAAAAAGTTTTGAGGTTGAAATTTCAATATAAATGGCTAATTAACTTTCCCTGGTTGGCCTATTCAGAAGTAAACAATGGTGCGTATTGCAAATATTGTGTTGCTTTTACTAAAAATGAAGCCGCGGTGTTAATAACCAAAAATTGGGAGCATTTGTATTAAAAAAATATGATGATTGGAAACATGCGTTGGAAGACTTTAAAAATCATTCGAATTTAGAATATCACAATCAATAGAATTTTTATTATAAATAATTAATAATATAATATTTATAATATTCTGTAGTGCATATATAGCTATGTGCATATTAAATAATATTTAACTGCCATGAGTTATGTAAACCTTTGTATTTGTTTTGCTATTTTGCCTATTAATATTTATACGTGTAATGTGTTTGATTGTTGGGAAAATGGGTAGTTGCAAAGAGAAGGTTTTAGTGCTGGTTATTTTTTTTAAACCCCCCCTAGAGCAAATTTGAATGTACGCCACTGGACAG